TTGCAAGATAAACAATAGTAAACATTGGTTAGTGCTAGGGAGTTAAATAAGAGTTTATAAGAGAAAACATCATTTCCTTAGAATTCTTATAATTTGTAAAAAGCACACACTTTGAAAAAATCTGATAACAGTTTTGATTAGTTTACATTTTGAGATAATTGTAGATTCATATTCACTTATAATGAATAATACAAAGATAAGACTTCTGTGTCTTTTGCATAGTGATAATGTGCAAAAATATAATGAAATATCTCAACTATAATAATGACACTGATTCAATCAAGATACAAAAGGTTTCACTTAGTTCAAGGACTTTTTATGTTGCCTTCTTAAAATCTCACACAATTTCCTCCCACCCTCACCTATTCCAAACCCATACACTGCTGAGAGAGCAGCTGGCGAGATAGAAGAGGTCTGCTGCATTTGGGTCAGCTCCCTGGCCAGGAAATGAACTCATGCTGCAATGGCTGCCAATAGTGTCATAGTGCTGAGACTTAACCTCTTGAACCACCAGGAAGGCCCCAATTCTTACCAAAGATAGTCATCCACATGTGTGGGTTTATTTCTGGGTTCTCAGAATTATTCTGCTGGTCTATATGCCTACTTTAGTTTCAATACCATATTTTGCTTATTAGAGCTTTATAGTGTATTTTGAGTTCTACAAATGTGATGGCATGGCTTGTTAGACCGGCTTTGACTGCAGTCTTTTGTAGTTTCATGTGAATTTCCATAATGCTTGTCTACTTTGAAGAATGTCTCTGGATATTGGTTAAGAAATTGCATTGAATCTGCATATTGCTTTGAGTAAGACATTCAAATTAACAATGCTAAGTCTTCCAAAACTTGAGATGGTAATTAATCTCTTTTCATTATCTTGTGTTTTCTATTTCTTTTAATAATGTCTTATAGTTTTCATTGTATAGTTCTGTCACCTCCTTTGTTAAATTTACTCCTAGGTGTCTAATTCTTTAATGATAAAATCATGAATGAGATTGTTATTTCTTATTTCTTTCTCTTCTCACTTGTTACTGTCATATAGGAGCGGAACTTCTTATTTCTTTCTCTTCTTGCTTGTTACTTTCATATAGGAGCAGAACTTTTTGAAAATTTGTTTTATAGCCTACTAACTTTACTATTGCAATTCTTTCTTTAGTGTAGTCTTTAGGATTTTCTGCATAATTATCATGTCATTTGGAAATATTGATAATTTTACTTCTTTTCCAATTTTACATCTTTATCTTGCCTAATTGCTCTAACTAGGATTTCCAACACTATCTTGCATAGTGGTGGTGAAAGTGAACATCTTAATCTTTATCGTATCTTATAGGAAGTGCTTTCATTTTTCAACATTGAGTATGATGCTAGTTGTGGATTAATCATATATAGCTTTATTATGTTGAGGTATGTTCTATTTACCCCCATTTCTTTGAGAGTTTTATCATAAATGGATGTTGAATCTTACAATTCATTCTTTACAGCTATTAACCTGATCATCTGATTTTATCTTTCTTTGTAAATGATACCAGTTTGTGAATGTTGAACCATTCTGTGTCCCTGGGATAAATAAAACCCACTGGTCATGATGTAGGATCCTTTTGTTGCATTGTTGAATTTGGTTTGCTAAGATTTTATCCAGGATTTTTGCATCTATGTTCAACAGGGTTATTATTCTCTCTCTTTTTTTTTTTTTATGATATCTTTGTCTGGCTTTGGTATCAGAATGATGCTGGCATCTCAGAACATGTCTGGAAGCATTCCCTCTTTCTCTAAGGTTATTTGAGTCTCTCTTTTGTTGTCTGATGTGGGTCTGTATTGCTATATGTGCCCCTGTTTGTACTGCTGTGCTATATCCTATAGGTTAGGTTCTTATAGGCTGTGTCTTCACTTTTGTTCCTCTCCAATTTTCAATTTGTTCTTTGACTTACTTTTTAACCCAATGGCTATTCAGCTGTGTCTTAATAAATACCCATGTTAGAGGCTTTTCCTGCTTTGTATATATGTGGTTGATAGTATTATGGTCTGAAAAGATACCTGACATGATATCTGTCTTCATGAACTTACTGTCATGAATTGTGAGCAATTCCCACTGGTGAAAGTGGGCTGTTGAGGTCTTCTACTACTGTTGTGTTGCTAACAATGTCCGGTTTCAAGTTTGACAAGTGTTGCCTGATATATTTTGATGTTCCTTTGTTTGACATATATATTTTGATGAGTTTTATTTCTTACTAATGTGTTGATCGGTTAACAGTGTCTGTCTCTGTCTCTTCTTACCTTTTTTAGCTGGTATTTCATTTTACCTAAATATGATTATCCCCATTTGGGGGAGGTGGGATCTCCTTTGCTTCTAGGATTGTTTACCAACCTTTTACCTTCAGCGTATGTTTATTTTTTGGAGCTTAAGCATTCACACCAGGTCCAGTTCTGCATCTCTGCCAACTCTCCAAGAAAAGCACAAAATGCCCACTCATAAGACTGATTACTAAGTTTCTTACTACATACTCTGTAAGCCTGAGATTGCATGGGAGGAAAAATGTCTTCCTCAGCTCCCTAAAGTAAGCGCAGACAACCACTGGAGCCCAGAGATGGGGTAGAGGGGGTGTAGGTGGCATTTTTTCCCCTCTTCCGTTTATTTGGCAACATTTAGAGACATTTTGATTGTTGTGGGGCTGGGAAACAAGAGGATCGTGCTACTGTCATCTAGTGAGTGGATACTGGGATATTTTTGAACATTCACAATTCATAGAACAGCCACCCATAATAAAGAATCATCCCACACCAAATGTCAACAGTGCCAAAGTTGATATGCTCAACTTATGTTTGGAATCTAGTTTTAATCTTCAGTTATTCTGTGCACCTTTTGGCCTATCCAACTATTTGTGGAACTCTGAATGCTGGATTTAGAGTGACCAACCTCCAAACACAGAGATAACACACCCTGCCAAGACTGTCTTATCCTTTGGTTTTTCCCTCAAGGGACTTCAGTGTGGCTCCAAGTCAAGATGGCTAAGGCAAAGAACAATATTTCTTATTTATCCTGGGAAAAATATTGTTTATATAAACACATGTCCTTAGCTTAAGAATTGTTGGAGTTGGAGACAACTGTTGGAGGCAATGAGAAAGAAATAAGAACAAAATCTAGGTTGCATTAAAAAGATGAACAGAGGTATCTGGTAGGAGCAGTCTTGTAACTCAGAGCAGTACCTCGGGCTCCTGATTCTGACATGCCATGCAATCCTACACAAAATTCTGGTAGCTGAAGCACCCAAAAAGGATAGGCAGAAGAAACAGAATGCCATAAAAAACAGAATTCACTCATCTAGTGTTCATCCATCATCTGATGCTCTTCCTTCTTAAATTCTAATTCTATTTGAACACTTCAAAATATACTTTCGTGTGTGCTTTTGTTCTGAAAGTCTCCAACTGTACAGGAACTCTGAGCCTGTGTCTAATACTGGTTCCTCCTCACATCCAGTACCTGCACTAAGAGATAGCACTCCTGTTCACAGCACAAGCACCCAGGCCTTTATTCTCTCTGTAAAGTCTGTCAAATGGGCATCTTTTTTCTACTGGATCCACAGAAAACCTAATTGTCAATACCCAACTGATCTTGTTCAGCAACCATGAGTAAGTCCAGGTCTTAACTGAAAACATTTGCCCACCTTTGCTGACAAACACCAGGTCAAAGACAACAGTAGGGACTCTTGTCTTTACATGCTTTTGTTTCCCTAATGGGCTTTCTGAGCACATTCCTGACATCACAGCCAAGAGTGTTTTCTGGGGTTGAAACTATTTTAAAGACTTAATGAGGCAGCAGTATTCTGTGTACTAACAAGAGGTTTGCTGCTACAGCCAAGAATAGTAACAGAATCTTCTTCCTTGTTGTCATTCACACATACAAATACACACACACATGCACACATAAAGAGTCTCTCTCTGGATGAGATTCTCTTGTTATTATTTTTGTTTTGAATATCCCTGCCAGAGTGAAGTTTATAGAATGGGCAAAATATCTTTACTAAGACTCTCTAGCTTTACTTCCAGGAATATGCCACAATCAACAAACCGTCAGTATCTGGAGGTGACAGGCTGGAGTAGAGTCTCAGGCTAGCATCTGGTAGTTGTGGCCACTAAGCCCATCATTCACCTCCGTAAAGCTAGGAGACACCTGGTCAAATGGAGCACTTAGCCTAGACACCTGCTGGTTTCTGGTGGGACAAAAATGTCTGTGGGCTGTGCCTGTGCCATAGTGTTTGGCACACAGGAGTCATTTATACTGTGTCCTTGGAAAGGTCTAGAAAATAAATTTAAAATATATACATTTAGGGGCTCTCCCTGGTGGCACAACGGGTTAAAACACCGCATTATGAAGCTCTCTGAAGCCACTGCAGCGCGAGTTGATCCCCGCCTGGGAGGTGACCCACTTGGCGTGGCAGACCTCTCCTGACCAGCCCAGTGCTCCCCTCAGAAGTGGATTTCAGTCAGTCTGCCTGTTCTGCTCCCCACTCTGTCTCTAGTGATTCCTCTCACCCACCACATTTCTGGCCTATACCCCAGTTCTGTAAGCATAAATAAATAAATATTTAAATATATATATATGGATATATATGCAAATTTAAAGAGAATGGTTTTCACTGAAGTATCGTAAGACTCATAAATTGAACTTTTTTAAAAGAAACAGTGATCTTAGAATAAAAATTCACTGCTAATAATGCTAAGATGTAACAGAAGACTGAGTTTTCCATTTTAAACACCTGTCACTTCAATATTAAATACTCACAAGGGCTTAGAAAGGAACGGCACCAGTGAGGCATTGTTCAGATCTACAACTAATGTTCTTTGAAGCAGTTTTTGAAAGAACCTCTCAATTTTTTCCACTTCGAAGGGAGGTTACACTGCCCTTGGCGGGAAATTCAAAACTTTAAAGAACTACAGTAACTTAGGATTGTGCACATACGTAGCATTTACCCAGGAGAAACACTACTCTCCTTCTAGACACCTACTTCCATTTTCATGTCGTAGTTCTGACCCAGTACGCGCTGTATGAGCTCCTTCACCGTCTGGTCGGAGGCCAGCTGAGCCTCAGACTGCAGCAGAGAGGTGATCTCCTCCAAGGACATGGTGATCCCTAGACCCAGTGGCGGCAGCGTGAGCCGCGGGGTGGCCCTGCCCGCGCCAGCTTCCAGCGAGTCGCGGGGAGCAACGCTCCTCCTGCCTATTTTGAAAACTGACCCGGCCCCTTCCCGGGTCTCGCTGGCAGTCGCGGCCTGGTGCTCCAAAGCCATGCGACTCTTCCCCCTGCTCCTCCGCCGCGTGTCCACCCTGCCTTCTCTCTCCTCACTGGAGACGGAGCTGCTCTTCCCTTTGGCCTTTCTGGGCTCTGCGGCCGCAGCCTCATGCTCCTGGTTCGAGCCACGGTGGACGACGGGGTTGATGGCCACGGGGCGCGGAAGCTTAGGGCCCCAGCGGGCCCTGGGCCTCCCTCGGGGTGGAGGGGGCGGCATCAGGACCACAGATTTGGCGGTACCGGCGTGGGAGGCGATGACCGGTGGCTTCTTCTGGGGCCGATGCCGCAGGAACGCGGAGCTCCGTAAGTAGAAGTCCTGGGGGCAAAAGGGTTGGCTCTTCCCATAAGTGGCCGCCTCGCTGGACCCCGGGAGGTGAGCTGTGCCTTCCCGACCCCAGTGAAAGAGGGCATCGGAAGATGTCTCCAGGCCTTTAGCCGCAGGCAACCCTGATGGCTTCAGGAGCCCTGCAGGAGAAACGCTCTCCACCTCCTCTTGCCTGGCCAGGCCTGGGGACTCGAGGCCAAAGATGGGGCTTTCATCCACAGTGGGCCTGGAGAGCAACTTCTGCTTGAATTGAAGAAAATCCTTTTTATTTTCCTGGCGAACCTTCTCAAGCTCTTTAAAGATGTATGTTTCTTCTGTTCCTTTCAGTCCGAAGTGCTTCCGAACCGTGGACATCTTAATTAATTTGTTCTGTAAGATAACAACATATGAATGTATGACATGTAATATATATATATATATAGAAAGCAAAATTTCTTTGATAAATAAAATGCCAGCTTATGGTAGAATGGTCATCGTGCTCTCTGAAGCACAAGTGGGTAAGATTAGTGTATATTATTTTAAATCCACTTATTGTTCTTGTCATAGGACCTACTTACAACTTTTCTTGAAAGGGAATTTCTGAAAGCCCTTCTGGGTTTATTTTAACATTTTGTTACAATTTAATTGCAGTGTCTATGGTCTCTCTTACTTAGAAGGAAGACCATAGTAAGCGCAGACATTGAAAATCCAAAAGGGCCTTGCTAAGAGAAAATACAGGTCATCAACCGTGGTCTAGAACCAGATCACAAACAGGTTTTTCAATTGCTCAGAGTTTTTAAAACATTCTAACCAACAGACAACAATTTTAAATTGAGAGATTATCACGTTCAAATCCAGATTTGCCATTTCTCTGGGGATAAAAGAAGGTGGCAATTCTCAGAAAGCAGGAACTAAATCCTTACATATGTAGCTGGTTAAGCAATTTCCCCTTCTCCAGCTGGTCCTAGATACTCACTGCCCACCCAGCCCACTTCTTTCAATGTGTCACCTGAACTAAAACAGAGTGTATGATGGGAGAAGGACAATCAGCCACAGACAGGTCCTGGGAGCTAAATGCCAAGTGTCTGTACTTTTTATGTGGGCCACTGGAAATCACTTGAGTTTTCAGTAGAAAAGTGGCTTGATTGGATTGGTGTCTTAGGGGGTGTTAATATTGAGTAGGAGAAAAAACAAAGTGGGGCAATTAATAGTCTTCTAGCTTGAACCTAAGGCTGACAGAAAAAAACAGAGACTGGCAATAACAGATTCCTTGGCACCTTCACGTGTGGGACAGAAGAGAAACACAAGCAGTCGGTTAGGAAAATGAGTAGAATCAAGTCCTCAGACACCAAGGAGAGAAGAGTTTCAAGAAATAAAGGTTAGGGGAAAATAAAAACAGAAACTAATTAATAATTTTGTTTAAAAAAACTTATTCTTAGAAAACCCAAGGTCAAGTTCCTTTCCAAAAAAAATAAAGCAGAAACACCTTTGGAATATCATCACTATTTGCAAATATGATTATCTAGAAAACCTAAGCTCTAGAGAATTATTTAGAATTATAGTAGAGTTCTGCCAGCCACTTTCGTAAAAGTAACTTCCCTTATACCAAAACTATACATTCAAAACATAATAGTAAAATTCCAGTTATATTCTTTTAGAATTAACTAGGATTAAGCATAACAAGAATGTACTGAAGCTACAAGAAAAAGAATTTTATTGAAGCCAACAAAAGACAGACTCAGTTAAATAGACTTAATGTCCCTTAGTGGAAAAGCCAAATATTTTATTTATATTAGGTTTTCCCAAAATAATGTACTAGCTTAATGCCAGCATAGTCAAAATCATAGTAAAAATGATGCTGCTAATTTCAAAGAGTACCTATTTATTTGAAATATAAACAGGATAGAGACCCAAGTTTCTAAAAGAAAATAATGACAGTAACAATAATAATAACAAGCAAGAAGGGTGCAAAATGTATACAGATGAAAGGATTAAAATTGAAATGCTGGTAGAATCAACATGTAGACTGAGTAAGCAAGAGTTAAGATGAATTACAAGTACAACATTAAATAGTGATAAAGGAAGAATTATTCAATAAGTTGTTCTGAGACATTTGGGCAACCATCAGGGGAGATTATTTATACCATGTACCAGCCTAAGTCCAGATAGATGTAAGACAAAATGCAGAAAACAATTTTTATTTTACTATGCTTTCCTTGTTTTCACCTGTCTTTTATCAACTCATGGAAAAATTATCTTTGCAGGGTCCTCCCTGGTGGCACAGCAGGTTAAAGCACTGCACTAAGAAGCTTAGGCCACTTCCGCATCAGTTAGATCCAGGCCTGCCCCGGAGGAGATCCACATGGCACCCCGGGGAAGTATGCCCGCTGTTCCCCTCAGCAGTGTACTTCATCTGCCTGTTCTGCTCCCCCACTCTGTCCCTGGTGAATCCTCTCACCCTCCGCATCTCTGGCCTGTACCCCAGTTCTGTATGAATAAATAAATAAATCTTTAAAATAAATAAAGTAACTAAAATAAATAAAAATAAATTATCTTTGCAGGCATTCTTCATTTATCATGTATCATAGGCAATATGAAGAAAAATTGAACCTTTAAATATAGTCATATTGCTTAGATCCCAAAATTATCTGCTGAGCTTCTCCAACCAAAGTCTTTACTTATGACAGAGTTCTAAAATGGGAATCAATAATATTTCATTCTTACCTAGTTTCACCAATGACTAGACCTTGGGCCATCAATTCTATATACAACAAGATTTCAAATTAAAAAATGGAAATAATAATCTGTTGATTCTCTTCATGACCATAGTATATGAACATTAGAAATGATTTCTAGAACTCTTAAGGAAGTTTCTTTATTTTAAAACGCTGTGTAATCCTACACAGAACAGCCTAGCATTCTGCCTGTTCTTATTTACACAGGTGGTAGTATGTTCACACTGACACCATCTACATTTCCTCCTACAAAGGACTAAAAGGTAGTATCTGGAACAAAGCACAGACCAGAAGCACATTAATACCTGATGAGAATCTGACTTCACTCTTCCAACTGCACTTCCCTTTTGTTCCTTAGTTCCTGCTTCACATTCCCTTTCCAACTTCTCTCATGCCCCTCCCTTGCTATTGAATTTTAACAAGTCTTCATTGTTTATCATTTCTCAGTACATTCCCTTGAGGTCTCCATAGGAGAGTTGCTCTTTATATGTGAAAAATAAACCAACAAGATACAGAACTTCTAAATTTGATGAGAACTTCTATTGTGTTTTCAAGGGAGGTGTTATTCCAACACAAAATGGGCCAGTCCATCAAAGCTTGGTGCCTTTATCCCCTACCTACACACTACACAGTCCCCCTCCCTCCACACTACAAAATATGTAAAATGATTTTTCAACATCGGTTGTCATGGAAAAGTGACATGCTCTTTTTTATTGGTGACAATTTACAGAAAGAAAGAGACTAGCTCTGATTTTGAGTTACTCAAGGAAAAATAACGTTACTGTCCTGAGAGGAAAAAAGATTAACCCACATAAAGTGCCAAGCCTGGTGCTCACAACCCAGGTTGATTAAGTTTATACTGTTGAGTGAATTCTCTAGATTCTGGAGGTAGGTTGTTTTCTGTTCTCACAAGTGTGGTACAGAAGATCCAGAGCGCTACTTTAGACTTCAAAGTGGAAAGAAAGCAGACTGCCTGATGACTTGGTTTCAAGCTCCAAGAACCCACTCACACAGAGAATAAAGCCCTTCATCCGACAGGCCTTGCTCATGAGAGTGTTACACTGGAGCCGAAGCTCCACTGTATGGCTCTTCTGGCCCTGAGCGCTTGGATTTTGCTCACAGGCACTTCAGTAGGAGGGGACCCTTTAAGGACATGACTTAGCTTTTCTTTAATCCATGACCAAATACCATCGCAATTCACATCATAAATTTTACACCAATATCAGCTTCCAATGCACAGCAGTAAAGTTTCATGAGAAGTTTTAAAGGGAAAAGACTATCTCATCCAGTAAAATCTTCAGCAGAACAAGAAAAATAAAAATATTCTGAAAACAATATTTGCTTTTGAAATATCAGGGGTAGAAACAAGATCTGTCTGTACATTGGTTATGATTTATGAAAAAGCCTAAATTAAGTACTATACACTTTAACAACTTTGCTAAAAGAATGAAATAATAGTAATTTTAGCAATTTCCCCACAATTTCTGTTACACTTGTTTTATTTCCTTTAACCCTATCAATAGAAATAAAATACTATCAATAATACTAACTGATATATTATGCTGGTTAAAATTATAAAGACCATAAAGAACAGCTTTTTTAAGCATAGAACTCCACCAAGATTTCAATGACTATACGACATTTATTCAATTCTTTATAACCAGTACTGAGAGTATGTTCATGTCCCTGGTGAATATATATATATATATATATATATATATATAAAACTAGAAACATAAGTAAATACATAGCAGGCAATGGAACAACACAACATCCCACCTGCAAATTATACTCCCCATGTTCTACTTGTACTTATCCTCTTTGAATTCTTCATCAAAATGCTTAAATAGAAGTAGGAACCTTTCATTATTGTTGTCATTATGCTTTGATGTGTTAAATGTTGCATGCTCAATTTCAAAAGTACTGAGTGGTCCACAGCTATCGTTTACAGACCATTCCCCTACTAACAACTTATAACCCTGGTAAAATAGAAAAATTAGCTACCTGAGGACTCTTAGAAGTAAGTAAACAAATACAAGCAGATTAGGGAAAAGACTCAAAATTTGTAGAAACCTTTTCCTGGAGGTGAGTTTCCAATTTTATTATTTTTGTCTAAATGATGATCATAACGCCAAATGGCACAGTGTAGGTGGAAATGAGTTTGATAGAATGTCCTCCAACATTCTGGGTAGAAAAATTACAGAGGGAAGTCCAGGTACTATCCATCACTAAGGGATGAGAGAGAAATCCTAGAGGAGATAAAAGCCAAAGGAGGTTATGCCCAAAATCACAAGACGAAAGAAACTGTCCTCTGACTCATACATATGGTGGGCAAACTCAAAGCAACACAGGGAAGGTTTAGGGTCTTCGCTGAGATTTAGCTGAACTTAATTTCGGCCAAATTCTAACCACAGATATAGCTTACAAAAGTGAATCTAAAAGTGGTTAATTGCCCTCTCAAAGAAAAAATTCTTCAAAGAGATATAATTTAGAACACAGAATCTACACCAAAAAACATTATCAATGTCTAGGCTATAACAAAAAGAAATACTTAGCATAAAATGATTCAGGAAAAATACAACCTATTCTCAAGGACAAAGATAATTAACAGACAGCCTAAAATGACCCAGATATGAAATTATTAAGCAAGGAGTT